GGAATGATTATGATCATCATGCCTGTCCCCCTGCATAACACAGGCCAAAGGACCTCTGTTGCCACCACGGTGATGGGGGTGTGGTGGCTGGGCAGGAGCTGGGGGGACCGCACGTAACCTCTCACTGATGGCCACTAGCTGAACTCATACATTCCCCTGGAGCAAGTTACCCCGCAGTGGTCTAGCACAAGGTTTTTGGCACCTTTTCCTGAAGTCTTTTGGCCCCTTTTGGAGACAGGATATTGGACTGGATGGAGCATGGGTTGGGCTTTCCTCTGCTAAGTGTCAAAAATATCCAGTGTGTTTAGCAGCATGCTGTCTGCAGCTCCCCAGCCAGCCCTGCAAAGCTGGTCCGTTGTGTCTCAGTGCTTTTATCATTTGCTCGTGTAAGAGGGATGCCGGGGTGATCAGACCTAGGGACTTTGAGACTCAGGCTGATGTCATGAGCCAAAATGACCCTTTCATGTCATGCAACAGAAATATGCTCAAGAAAAGGACGGTTAGTCTATAGTGGTGCTAGGCATGTTCTTCTAACCGCTGGGGTCCCCTAGTTATGCATAAGCAAGGCAATGAGAAGAGCAGCAGGTGGAAGTTTAGGATGGACAGGGTGGAGGGTCATCCTCAGGAAAAGTTAAATAGCAAAGAGTCTGTGGTCTACCAATGCACTGACCCAACTCAGGAAGAACAGCTTGGTTTTATGAACAGAAGAGATGATCGGGATCTTTCTGGCTTGGTCCTGGGTGTGACTAAGCTGCATCCGACTGGAGAGCCTGGCGGCAATGTGGTGGGACTACTCGTGGTGGGGTAGCTCCTCTAAAATACCACCGTGTTACAGCCTCCAGAGTAAGGTGACTATAGGGGACCTCAAAACCCTGGCCCCTACTGCCTTGTTGGGTATTTCTTGGCTGGTGAAAGGCTGAGGGGCATCAGAAACGCACCCTCACAGGGGTCTTAGGCAGTCAGCAGCAGTTCTTCTCTCTTGCTTTGGCAGAAGCTACAGCCATCGAAGCACTGAACATCTGGATTTGATTTCTTTCCTTTGGATTCTGCCTCAATGATAGCAGAGGGGGGATAGCAGGTCTTGGGCAGCCTCCACTCCTCCGTGCACTTGCCTAGGCGCATGCATCCAAGGTCTTGGTGGGATGGTCATAGACCTCCTATGCATATGTCATGATCCAGAGGATCAATGGTTGCCTCTTACATGGTTGCCTGTCACACACACATTGCTTCTAGACCTCAGGTCAGTGATGACAACCTGCATGCATGGGATCAGGAGATCACCGCCCCCCATACACACACACACTCCTGGCTGCAGGGAAGGGATCTCCTCTCCGGTGCAGGGTAAGAGGCTATGCAGAGGGAACCAGCGAGGCAAAGGCTGAGAGCTGCTGCATTCAAACACAAGGCCGGTCTGTTTTTCCCCATCCGTGTCCGTGCAGCCAAGCAACTTCCAGCATTGCTCGCCAACAGCTGTAGCGTTGTGTGTGTCCAGGCCAGGTGTGCCTGTGAGTCTCCTGTGCGCGGCATGCTGCAGCCTTGCCAGGGGTGTGATGAAAGCAAGCTCTGCATGGATGTGGAAAGTCTCCTTGTCTGCTTTTCTCAGGGCTGAATCTTTGCTCGCACTAATCAACCCGACAGGACACGGGTGTCTGGGGAGAAGAGTAGCATCGTCCTTCCTCTGAACTCCTGGTCAGATTTATAGTGGCATCCCAGCCCCGTCCTTGTGCCCACAGCTGCTGGTCCTGAGGTCGTCAACACAGGGCTGTGGCTTTGCCAGGGCCTCAGCTGGGATAGTCGAGAGGAAAGTCATGAGAGAGGAAATGTTTGTTTGGACGCGGCTGGCCGGGGAGCCAGTTCTCAGGGTCCTGCCAGTCTCGCTCTGAGGAAGGAATCAGTAAAGACCTCAGGATTTAGTCCTCTGGGAATCACCAAAAATATCCAGGGGCAGCTATAAATGGCTCTAGGATCTCATTCCTGGAGAGTTCCCCGCCGTGCCAGCATCAGTCTGTGCTGCACCTTCATTACAGAGAGCAGAGAGGTTTCAGCTGGTAACTGTGAGCAGAGAAGAGTGGAGAAATGTCCTCCGCTTCCCCATCGTGGCCAAACGCGAGGGATAAAATGCATTTCACGGATGATGGCCTGCTGTGATTTGTGTGTGTGTGTGTGCTGTCCCTTGTCCAAAGCAGGACACTGGCTGCTGGAGTCCTAGCAGCCTGTGCAAGCATTTCCATCCATCAAGCAGGGCAGGGTTGGCAGCCTGCATGTGCAAGTTGTCCGGGTCAGAGACACGCTCCGGTGGAGGGTGACCACCTGAATTGCCTTTCAGTAAGTTTTGAAGAGGAAAAGCAAAGTGCGGCATGTTTCCTTCCGGCTCTTCGGTGCCTGTGCTGAGCCAAGCGACTCTGTCCTTCTTCTGCGATGCTCGGTGCTTGTCCAGTTGAGTGCAGATGAAATAGGCTTTTTGGGGGGTTTGGAGTAATGGGTGAGAAGCTGCCGGCTGGATCACTGAAGCACTTTTCTGCTCTCAGACCTGGCTGGATTGAAGCCGGAGGAGAGCATTAGTTTGAAAGTCTAAGAAATAATTCAGGGCAGCTTCTGCTCAGGCTTGGGAGGTTAATACCAGGAACCAGTGTGTGCTTCGAATCCCTCAAATTCTCCGCAAACTAAGATCCCAGCCAGCCAAAAAGCCAGTGGCAGGCTCGCTCTGCGTGAGCAAGTGTTGTGGAGGTCATTCCCTGGGGCCTTGCCTAGCCCTGTCTCAGATCCTCCCACCTGGTCTTCTAGGAAGGGTGAAATGACCCAGTGATCACTTTAACTGTTCGTATTTGCACCGCATCCCAAGCGTCTTTGCAGAGCATCTTTGCTGGATCCAGCGATGCCGACGCAGTTCAGGGGAACATTGAAGAAAAAGGCGAGGGCAGCTTTGGGCTTCTCAGCTCCGTGATGTAGTTCCCAGTACAGAGCAGCAGCCCAGGTGCTTGAGGTGTGGGAAACTCGGATGCTGGACCCTGCTCTGTCTGGTTCAACCCAGCTGAGGTTCCTGACCCCTGGAGCTATTAGCTATTCTGGGTCCTTTTCTTCTCTTTCACTAGTAACTCCTTGACTGAACTTGGTTGCTTTCCAGCACATAATAGGAAACCATTTAAGGACACGTGGGACAAGACATTATTTTCGCTATCAGGCTCTTGTAGCTGCTTCTCAATACCAGGCATTGCCCCCTCTTGTAACAGCAGGACCTAGCACAGCCCTGGCTAGTGGACGTAGGTCTTGGCTGTGGCAATAGAAGATCAGGCGTCAAGACTAAGAGGTCTTGGTTCAGGCACCGTGCGACCATGAAGGGATGATGTTGTATGAGCGCTTCCCAGAGCGACATGGGAAGCGCAGTCTGGGCGGGGAGCACATAAGGGGGTGTGATTTCCTCAGCAAATGCTGGGATATTTTTCAGCCTCTTTTTAGACCCGCTGCTTTTACTCTCCATCATGGAGGAATCCAAGCTTGGATACTAGAAACAGAATAAGTTCAGCACATGGCAGTACTCTTTGTGTAGCTTGCATGACTCGGATTGAATTATTATTTCCCACAATTTCCGATGGATCGTATCACCAGGTCCCACCAGACGTTCATGCGCACATATTGGTGTTACCTTCCTCCCAGTATCAGTGCAACCCAGAGTCCACCGTATCCGTGGTGTGCGTTGCCCGTGTCCGGTTCTGTCTAGAGCAACTCAATTCCAGTTGCAGAACGGCACGCCCAGGCTTTCAAGGGGCCCTTATGGAAAGGTCCCTTTTGTTTCTTCTATTTCATTTCAAAACTCTCGCAGGTTTTTTTTTTTACTTTAATGTTTCTGTGTTAGGAGCTGCCAGGAACAGCTGGGTGCTTTAGAAGAGCCTGCTGGTGCTTACCCTTCTGTGATTGCAAGAATATCACTTTTTAATTAAACTAAAAAACATGCAGGGGCAGGGACTTCCCACTCTGCCACAGAGGTGTCTAACGAATAGTACTTGTCCTTCTCTTTCCTTAGGACCATCAGACCATCCTGAGAGCCTGGGCGGTAAAAGATTTTGCCCCCAACTGCCCCCTCTACGTTCAGATACTCAAGCCTGAAAATAAGTTCCACGTCAAGTTTGCTGGTGAGTTTTGTACGGTGTAAGTGTGGGCTTGTTACACAAATTGCCAATTGCTCAAATCACGAGCGAGACCTTATGAGGGAGGCAAGATGCCATTTTTGTTGATTAAGCGCTTAATACACCCCCTCCCCACCGCACTCATACCCCAAATTCTGTTCTGCACTGGTATACGTTACCAGTTGTATCAGTGCTCGGATCAACTTAGTGGCCAGCCAGGTTAATCACAAATAGGAGCCAGGCTCCTGCCAGTCCATCTCGGCAGACAAACTGATGCTGCAGGATGACAAGCAGAACAAGACCCAAAATCGATACGTCTCGCCCCATCAGCTATCAACGCCCCAAAGCTATATCTCAGCTATCTCGCCCCAAAGCTATCAACAATAGCTTTGTTGATTCACCCAGTCCTCTGGGCTTTTGCTGTGTTATCACAGTGTTTGTCCTTGAAGGTCAATTGCCCTTGTTCTCTCGCTGTTCTGGGGCAAATTCTTCTTGTTTTGGTCTTTTATCTGTCGGCATTCTTCAGCCAGTCACCAGCTGATGTTTTCATTTTCCACGGACACGCTCTCACCCATTCTCTCCCACACACAGCATACAAAGGTCGAGCATTTATGTCAAGCTACAGAGCAACACAAAATGGAGTTTCTTAAGGCAATGCAAAACTCAAGAAAATACATAAGATTAAAAGCAATAGGCAAAAAATCTATTTGTATAACAGGCTCCCCATCTAAAGGGTCAGAGCTGCCTGCATTACTCAGGTCCTCATTGATGCCAGTGGGCCATGAATACATGGACGTTCCTCGCTTTTCACCTCCAGTGCATTTCAGTTCGGCTGCCGGCTCCGCTCTGAACCCTCCGTTGCCAGGACAGGCAGTAGGTGTGTGGTCATTTCTAGCTTCATGATCTTTCTAGCATTTTAGAACATCTGTCCTCCACTTCTTTCAGCATGGGAATTAATATCTGCAGCCAGTTTATGGGAGTCGCTACCTAAATCAATAGGAGGAGAGTCTGTGTAGGTCACGGGGACAGACCTACCAACTCCAAATGCAACCAGACTTGTAAACCTGGCTAAGAGTTTCTGCATAAAAAAGGCAGTAAGTCTGGTCACTGAGCTGCAAGGGTTGTTGGGGGGAATTTGCAGTTTGACAAACGATTTTTAGCATCTGTGACTGAGGAAAGTGGGAACAAGGCCCCTTTTTTTTTAAATATGCTGGGCATGAATCTATCCCCTGAGCTCTTCCACTGAGGGATCCCACCAGGTCTCTACAGGCAAACTCTCACGTGAACCAGCAAGTAGCAGGATGGTGCCTCAATTTAAGGACATTCTCCTATCACTTTGGGAGCTAATTAAGTTGTCCTTTAAAGAGAACAATTGAGTATTTAATCCAGCTCATTAGGCTTCCAGTGTGAAACCCGGCCCTTAAGAGTGACCTCAGACAAAACATCTTCCTTTTCGTTGTACCCTGCCTCTGCTGTCTGGGTTGGACAGGGCTTGTTTGGCAGGATACTATTCTGCTTGTCTATTTTCTCTTCCCTACCTGGAAGTACATGCCCATTCACATCGATCCCCAAGGCAGCTAAAAGCATCCCTGGTACCTAGTAAAAACAAGTTGCTTTTCCTTGAAGCCCCCTTCTGTGCTTAATCAATCCGTGCTGACTCCGCTGGAGCTGGAACGTAAAACAAACAACCCTCCAGCCGTCACACACGCTGTGCCGCCTCCCCTAGCCTTCCCTCTTCTCACTGGAAACCAGCTCGCTTGAAAATCTTCCAAGGAAATTACCAGTTGCCAGAGGCAGGGAAATGAAAGCTCTGCTTGGAGAGGGGTAATCGCACTGCCTTTTCCATTTCAGATCACGTGGTCTGCGAGGAAGAGTGCAAATACGCCATGCTGGCTTTGAACTGCGTCTGTCCGGCAACCTCCACGCTCATCACCCTCCTGGTTCACACGTCCCGGGGACAGTGAGTGTACACTGGTTTGACTTATTAATCCCCGTTTGCTACTTGTCATGATTGTTCCCATTCTTCACCCTGATTTGCCATCTGAAAATACACACTTAGCTACAAAGTTGAGCTCTGGGTCCCTTAGGCTCAACCTGCCTTAGGAGAAAGGGTGGTCTTGGGGCGCTGTCACACAAGATGAAGTCTCAGAAGACCTACTTAACCTCTGCACACCTCAATCTCCCGTCCCCCCATGGGATCTCCCTCCTTCCTGCCTCCCAGCCTTTCCTGGGTCGGTTGTAAGGCCTGTCCTCTATGTGTTTGACGGCAACTGCAATAGGGACCTGATTTGGACCGGGGACCTGTTAGACCAGTAATGATCAATAATTGTAGCATCACCCCTGGGATCTGCATCACCCTCCCGGTGGCTCGGTCCCGTCTCTAGTTAAAAGCACTGATCTCCCCAGAACAAATACTTGTTTTTCTGTCTACCACAACCCATTGAGCTGGGGCTGTGTCTGCACTGAAAAGGGGTGCATGCCAAACTGGTGGCATGAGCATGGGGACCCACCTAGCTGGGGCATGCAGCCTGTATATTTACCGCTTATAGATATGTTCCCCATTTGGCCACAGGAATGGAAGGACATGGGCATCCAGCAGCAAGTCAGGGAGCAGCCATCGTGCAGCCAGGCTCTGTGCAAGTGAAAGGGGTCGTCCTCTGCTCGGATGAGGAGCTCAAGGAGTTAGGAGCCTTCTGGCTTGGGCACCCGTGTTTGTTACTGGGGTGGGCAGCATGGCAGCATCTCCATGGCTCTTCATCTCTGCCCATCACAGAGAGGCCAAGGGCATGAGTATTAGGGACCCTAGGTATCCAGGATTGAGGCACATCAACAGGGTGCCCAGGCCTGGGCCAGGAGGTAAAACTGCAGGGCAGGAACAGCCTGTATGGTAGACCCAATAGGGGCCAGGATTTGGGACCCCCGGGGTATTGCGGGTCAGGAGTGAGAAGCGCTGGCCGAAGCGGGGCCATGACAGATGACGTTGGCTCCCTGGAGTGTATTGCTGAGATAGGAGCAGGTGTTTGCCCCTTGCCACAGCTGCTTCTTCTCTAGACAAAAGCAGCTGGAAACATCTGGTTAAGAACAAATACCCATGCTAAAAACCCTACAATTGCCCAGGTCTTGCAAGTGAAGGTGCTGCGGGCCCTTCCCACCCAGCCGTCCTGTTTGCACCAGACATCAAAGCTAAGTGCCAGTCAAACCAGTGATGGGGCAGCCTCGTGATCCAGTCTCCATGCACGTGTACTCGGGGATGATGCCTTCAGTCCTGTGCAGACCTGTTCTCCCAGGGGGCGAGTCCTGCCTGAGTTGAGCAGGCTCCTGTGATTAGGGTTTGCCGGCACAGCCAGAAATAAGTCTTTGCGGTTGTACCTCGCACGTGGGCCTTCTGCCTCTCAGGGACAGAGGTGACAAGTTGGTGACAGCTGCATGCAGGGCTCCAGACAGGAAAAGAAAGGAAATCACTTCTGCGCTGTGCAGCAGGATGCTACATGCAGCGTTAAGAGGTATAATGCAAAAGCCGGACCTAGCTGCCTTCTTGCCCTTTACATTTCATTGCATGCTTTGGCATGCTGGACAATGGATCTGTCACGGCCAAACTCTGCGAGACATCCTCTCGCTGAGAGCATTATATAAAAGACAGCTGTGGTAAAGTCTGCGGCTGCAGGCTAATGATTGTAGTGATCTCAAAGGACACCCAGATACGCTGTTAGGATATCACGGTGATGCTCCGGGGAGCCAGGCAAGCATAGCAAAACTGGTCATAGCATGTGATGCTGGAGTCTCTGTGTCACTGACTTGCTCTGTGTTCACGGGCAAGTCACTTAACCTCTTTGAGCCATGCGTTCAAGCAGCTGCAAACAGACCTGAATGATCCCATCTCATGCACAAGTGCAAATAAAACATAAATGTCCCTATGACCGTTACAGCAAAGTTCAATGAGCCTTGTGGGGGGTTTTGGACTTACACCAGTGCAGTGGGTTTGTGAGTGGGATTGGGCTCACAGTCCCCCTGCCTTTCCTTGGGAAAACATCACCCTAAATAGCAACGGCTCATTTGTCCCTTTCAAGCGCACCCAGTTATTAATAAACTACCGAGTGAAGGGCACCGGCTACTGTGATTAATGGCACATTTCCCCAGGCAGCGTGTGCTTTTGGAGAACGCGCCTTCGCGGGGCCTGGGAATAAAACACCGACATCAGCACGGTGACAGGAAGCTGAATTCAAGTGCAAATTCAGTTTGTGTTTTGCAAGTTTGTATAAAATACAACCAGAAATAAATCAGGCTGCCTAAGTACACGCTTTGATGGAGCGGGTTGTTTTTCCACGGCCAAGTTACAACATACAGAATTCAAAGCCGTGTGAAGTCAAAGGGTTATAAAGCCTCCAGCGTGTCTCTGACTCCCATCCCCTGCTCAGGACTGTTTGCTAATATTTGCCCTTTGCGGCTCCCCTTAGGAGCACTCGTTAAATACAAAGGCGTGTACAATCGGCAATTAAAATGAGATCACTTCTCGCTTGGATGTGCTGGCAGCTCATGAAAAGGCACTGCCACCGTCTTACTGGGGCGGGCCTAAAATGCAGCCAGAGCTCCTGTCCTTCGTTGTCCCTCTCAGTAATCACCAGGGATCCTGGTTTTCTCTGATTGAAAAAAATCCCCAACTTTCTGTTGAAAAACAAACCTCCAAATCCACATTTGTCCATGATTCAAATGAAACACCACTATGTATAGATCTATATACGAGTGGCGTTTCATTTAAACCATGGGAAAATGGATTTGGGGCTGCTTTTTCTAACCGAAAGTTGGGGATTTTTTTAAATTGGAGAAAACCAGGATCCCTGGTAATGACGCTGTCCCCGGGTGGTGTAAATGGTCTGCGCTCCTTTGCTGGCCCCGCGTGCGCAGCGGTGAGGCCCTGGTGCTGCCGGGGCAGAGGGGTGAGCACGTGAGTTCATTGCAACCCTAGGCGTGGGGGATTATTCCTTTTACCACCTCCTTTTCCTCCAAAGACTGGATGCTGTGACTCTTCTTTCTGTCTGAATCCAGGGCGTTTCTGCTTGGTTGCACTGAGCTACTTTTCCCGCGCCCATTCCAGCCCCAGCCCGCACCAGCGGACACATGATCAGGGCCCCAAAACCAGCGTTACTGTGCGCCTGCGTCCCCCAGGAGACTTGCTGCACAGGTCTACGTGACTGGGAAGTGTCTGGGTCAGGGAACACAGCTGCTTAGCAAGTCCCTTATTTTAGCCACCCTTTTCTCTCTGCCGAGCGTAAGACCTCGGGGCATGGGTTTTGGAAGGGCAGGACTTGACACTTGCAACCTTAAGTTCCTCTCTTGGCTGCTGGTTTTCCACTGATACAGGTGTGCAAGGGAACATCTGGATTTGGCCAGAGGAACAGCTGTTCATCCCACCCTTTGCTCGCTATAGTCTGAAATGCAAACTGGCCTTTCAGCAGGCTTTTGCATAGTCTGAAATGCAAACTGGTCTTGCAGCAGGCTTTTGCATAGCCCGGTGATGGGTGCGAACCCCACTGGAGAGCACGGGGTGGTAGCACTGGGCATGGCAAGGCTTTAACAAGCAGGCTTTTGTTCCCTCGGCTACAGGGAAGGCCAGGAGTCCCCTGAGCAATGGCAACGGATGTACGGGCGCTGCTCAGGCAATGAAGTTTATCACATCCGGATGGGGGACAGCAAGTTCTTCATGGAGTATGAAGGGAAAAGCTTCACGTACGCTGCCTTCCACGCACACAAGAAGTGAGAGCAAGCCTGGGTTGGGGCCTCTGAGTGCTGGCATGTGCAGGAGGAAAGGTCTTGTCCTGGGGGGCATGTTGTCCCATAGTGGGGGGATCCCTGAGGCTTTGAGAAAGGCCGTGAGTGTTTTGGTCCATGTAATGCATTGGTGGGGGGGTCACAGGGTGGCCTGGGGGGACTTTGGAAAAAGTCTTGCATGTGGGGGGAAGTGGTGCTCTGGGTAAAAAGCAGGGTGGGGTGTGGATTTATTTGTGTCGGTTTGGAAAGCGGGATAGCAGGAGCCAGGAGGAGCGTGCATTAGCTTCTGCTTTCAGTGCCGGAGGTCAGGGCAGAAGGCGAGAAGCACGGGCCAAAGGCACGTTTGCAAAAGCACACGGAGAGTCTTTTCTCTAGCGACCGGCCTTGAATGCCCGCCCTGTGCTTCTGCCCCAGGTACGGCGTCTGCTTGATAGGCATCAGGAGGGAAGACAACAAGAGCATCCTGCTGACCCCCGGGCCGCGGCACATCATGGCAGCGTCGGACACCTGCTTCTACATCAACATCACCAAGGAGGAGAACTCCGCCTTCATATTCAAGCAGGAGGAGAAGCAAAAGAAGAAGGGGTTTGCGGGGCGAGGGGCCTACGACGGTCCCTCCAGGCTGCCTGTTCACAGCATCATCGCAAGCATGGGTGAGTTCCTCCAGCATGCCAAGGGAGCAGGGGGGAGCAGCGCGGCCTGTTTGAAAGAGCACGGCAATGATGTCCACGCGCTTGGGTGTCACGCGTGGTGCACGTGTGGTAGCCACGTGCTGTTTCTGGGATCGGAAGCGCCTCTGTGCGACTGCTGGGGCAGCCTTTTCTGCTGAAAACAAACGGATGCCTCTTATCCATAGCTTTGTTCTGGATGGAGCCTTCACCTCCATGTCCCAACCACAACCCAATCCCTGTTGGAAGTTGGTAGATATTCAGGGGACTTTTAGTAGACCCGGGGAGATCCTCCCTAATGGCTAGAGCATAGAAAGAGCAGGCAGGTCTCCTGGGTTCGGTGGTTGGCTCTGCAACTGATCTGCTGGGTGACCTAAGGTGAGTCACTTAATCCTTGGGACGTTGCGCTGCCAAAGGCTGGAGATGTCATTCCCCTCTATGCTGCTCCTCCGCAAGTAGCGGCAGAGGAAGCCGTCTCGCAGGCAGGCTCTGTTGGTGTCTCTCCCTCCTGTAACCCTGCTAGCTCTAACTCCATAGCTCAGCATTTTAAACTGCGGCTACCTCTTCCCACGGCAGCATAGAGAAAGTGCCCTCCGCCACCACTTCTCCGCCACCACTTCTCCTTGCCACTGGTCACCGCCAAAGCCGCGGGTCGGATCAAATGGCTTAGTGGGTCAGATCCAGCCTGACCCCTGCTCCAGCCCAGCCAGGGGGAGCGGTGCTGTTTGCAGAACTACTGCTGGGAAGTTTGCTCATTTGCACCATCTCTGCCATGGAGATAGCACCGCCTCAGTCCCAGAAAGCTGGGGAAGCTTTGTTTCTGTTTGCAAGCAGGTTACAGCAGGTGCGTTTCTACCTGGATGAAGTTGCTGCTCTCGGGCATAAACAGTAGATGCGAGTCAAAGCTTTGCTAGAGGGTTGCACTGCGATGCCTTGCAAATCAGCCCCATCACGCCAAGCAGCAAGGTCTTGCAGATGTGTGCACTTGCTCTGCTTGGCAGCTGTCAGATGGCGGCTTGGGAGGGAACGTTTTTGGCCAGCCCTGCTCTTGTCCTGCAGGTGCATGCACTAGCGCTGCTGTTATAGAGGTGGGGGACAGACGGCAGCTTGTCGGCACTTCGCTTTAGCCCCAGGGCCCTCTGCTTTTATACCCCCTTGCACATATTTACAATGCCGTATCCTTCCTCCTGCCTTGATGCACTATAACGTTTCCAGCAAAAGTCATTGCTAAGTCCTGAAGGTGATCGTTTGACTGCTTCAAGCTCTCCTCAAAGTAATAAAGTCATGCTGGGTTGTACGTGACTACCATGTAGCTCTGCATGTTGCTGACCAAATGATCCCTTTGACAAGATCTGGGAAACCGGAGGGGTATACTCGGAGCCCAACAGGGAAATAAAAGAGATGCCTTGTGACTTCGTTATCTGTAGAAAGCTACAGGGAATCTCCAAAGCCCCCTTCCAAATTCAGTCGCTATGCAGCTGTGACCGTGGAAAAGTTGCTTCCAGTTTCTGCCTGGGGTTTATCAGCTATAAAGGAAATAAAATATCACTTCCCCACCTTTAGCAACTAAGACGGAAAGCACTCCCTGCAAATGTTAAATTTTGTTATTAAGGCCCATCACATCCATTAACATGAAGGACGTTTGCTCATAGAAATCCCCCATACCTTGGTTAGAAGAATAGACTCCGTTGTCTGCATTTGAAATCATGTTTATGATTCATAACTTGATGAATGGCACAGTTTGCTCTTCAGTCAGTGGTGCATTTTCTCAAATCAAAACGACCATGACTCATTATTTCCAGCTTGTATCTGGGAAGCGCAAATTTTGGGGTTTATCTGGAGAAGCCAAGACACAATAGGAGATTATATTCCAGGCAAATCGTGTATCCATTTGCATTCGAGGGCATTACGTTGCACAGATTATCCCAACAGCGAAACACAAAGCTCCTCGTTGGGCAGCGTTTTTCCGATGTTCTTGTTATGCGGCTTTTTCTCAGTGGGAGCATGTTCGGAAGTAAAAGGAGAGATAGGAATTGTATCCTACAAGTAGGTCAGTTGTATTCAGCTACTTGGCTGGTAATAAGGGGGAGAGAGCTGAGCTCCTGAGTCGTGCTTGCCGTGCCATGCATCGCTTTCCTGCCCACTTAAAAATAACTGTGTGACAAAGGCTAAAATAAATGCCGATGGCTTTGATTTCCAAGAGCAATGACTGATTTTGATTGCCCAGCCCCGTACGCCTGAAAAGCTCTTGATTACCAGGAAGGGCTGAGAAGCAACCCACAGAAAATCAAGCCGCTTTGAAGGGTCTCAAGGTGAGCAGCCAAAAGTTGAGTCACCCAAAAGCACTAGTCACATGTGCGTGTTTTGGTCCAAGACTGGGGGAGAAGAAGGGTGGGATTTTTTCAAAGCAGCTAAGGAAGCGAAGTGCCCTTTTCCCATTGAAAGCTGCTGGCTGTTGGGTGCCCACCTCTCTCAAGTGCTTTGGAAAATTGCACTTCTCCTCTCCGTTTTGACAACGGGAACAAAAAGGCAGTGTCCAGGGGCAACGT